GTTGTTCTGAGGAGTAAATAAAGTTATATATATATATATATATATATATATATATATATGTATATGTATATATGTATATGTATATAAAATGCACTTAAATTACTTTCTGGTTTATTACATACTTATTATTATGTGTTAGTGATATCAGCAAGAATCATCATTAATTCTCTCTCTTTAAAATTCATTTTCTATTTCAATGAATTTCGTTTTCATTATTTTATTTCTTCTACTCTATCTTGTGTTGTTTCTTTTCTTAAGTTAGCTCTTCAGCTCTTTAATTTTTAGCATTTCTTTTGTTTGAATATGAGCATTTAAAGCTATAAATGTTGTTGTAGCTACTTCTTCAGTTACATTGCACATGTTATGGCACATTGCCATTCCCTTATCTTTCAGAACTAAGTGTTTTACATTTGTAATAATATTTATTCTATAACCCCAAAGTTATTTATGTTTGACATTTTAAATCTAGCAAATGCATTGTGTTAGACAATCTTTATACTGATTTCCAATTTAATTTCACTTTGGCCAGAGAAGATGTTTATGACATCTCTTTCTTATGAAATTACCTTTCATAATTTCATAAAATTACACTTTCTTGATGAACTAAAATCTGCTTAATTTTATAAATAAGCTTTAAAAATATTAGAACTTCTTTAGTTGTCCTTAGTTGATAAACCACAAAAAATGAGTGGATTAACATAATACAGTTTTATTTCCTACTCATGTGAAAGTCTAGAGAAGATATTGGTAGGTACTTCAGTAAATCAGGATTCAGGTAGCTCCTTCATTTAACACATGTGACATAAGGTCAGTTTGTAAGAATTCTCCATTTTGTATAGCTAGGCGGGAAACATTATGGACACCATCTTATTTACATAGCCACAGGTAATTATAAGAGGAGCTGAGAAATGCAGTCTAGCTAGGTGCCAGGAAAGAGAGGCAGTAGATTTTGTTGATTACTTACAACACAACCTCTGTTCTGATTTTTTTTAACTCTACAAATTAGACATTTTAAATAAAGAATTACAAACACTGTTTAGATTTCCCTATCTGTTTACTAAGATCCTTGTTCATTTGCTTCTTAATCTTAGGCTTTCTGTACTAGCCACAATAGGCAGGTTAGGTTGAGGCAATAAATTAACCTCAAATCTCGGGAATCACAATCAAAAATGTATTTTTCACTCATATCACATGTCAAACAAGGCTGCTGCTCCTCAATGTCAGTCAGGCACCTAAGCCAGTGAAGACCCTATCATGCTATCCTAGGATTACATGTGCCACCAGTCCCATAAGCCCCTTCTTCTCATGGCTCATTAGTTAGAACCCATAGTATGGTCTCCATCCGGCTACAGTGACCTCCCAGGGGAAATGGGAGCTGAGGGGTGAACACACAGTATGTCTCTGCACACTTCCTTTCTGGCTTCATTTTTTCCTTTCCTTTAGAAATATTCTCTGAAGGCCAGGCATGGTGGCTCATGCATGTAATCCCAGCACTTTGTGAGGTCAAGGCGGGCGGATCATTTGAGATCAGGAGCTCAAGACCAGCCTGGCCAACACAGTGAAACTCCGTCTCTACTAAAAATACAAAAATTAGCTGAGTGTGGTGGCAGGTGTCTGTAATCCCTGCTACGCAGGAGGCTGAGGCATGAGAATGGCTTGAACTGAACCCAGGAGGCAGAAGTTGCAGTGAGCCAAGATTGTGCCACTGAACTCCAGCCTAGGTAATAAAGCAAGACTCAAAAAAAAAAAAAAAAAAAGAAAGAAATATTCTCTGAAAAATGGCTGTTGTTTGTAAAAACTCTTGTTTCTCTGAATATATTCTTATTTATCTTCATTACTTAAATAGAGATAATTTTGTTGGACTCACAATTACATGTTAGTTGTTATTGACTCTTGATAACTTGAAAATGTTATTGTTATCTTTCCACTTGCATTGGGTATCTAGAAGTTATAAGACATTGTATTCTTTTTTTTCCTGTAACTTTTTAGTTTACAAATCTTTACCACAATAGGTATGTGTGTCTTATTAATTATATTTGGAACTCAATGGACCTTTTTGAAATTTAAAGTTTTATCCTCAGTTCAGTGAACTGGTAGTCCATTATTTGGACAGTATTTCTCATCTGTTCTGTTTTGCCCCCTAGTAATTATGTTATTCACACATTAGGTATGCCAGGTCTCACTTCCATATCTCATATTATTTTGCTCACATTTTCCATTTCTTTGTAAATTTTTCTGCATTGATGTTTACTTCTTCAATCTGATTGTCTGACTGCTGCTAATTCCTACTGTTTAATTGTATCCCTCTAATATTCATGTGTTGAAGTGCTAACCCTCAATGTGATGGTATTTGGAGATGAGAGCTTTGAGTGATAATTGGGTATGGGTGTTAAGATGAGGTCATGAGAACAGAGCCCCCTTATGAGGGGATAAGTGCACTTGTAAGAAGAGGAAGAAAGACCAGCTCTTTGTCTCATACCTGCTCCCTCTACCTGTAAGGACACAGGAAAAGGTCCACGTGTAATTCAGGAAGATAGCCTTCACCAGAACCTAACCATGCTGGCATTCTTATCTCAGACTTCCAGTCTCCAGAGCTGTAAGACAGTAAATCTCAGTTGTTTAAGCAATGGAGTATTTTATTATGAATGTTATAAATAATATTATACAATAAAATAATATAATTATTATTTAGTATTTTATTAGCCTACATGACTAATACACTTACTATGTTGTCATTCTTTAAACCTGTCACATCCCTTCTCTCTTTCTTCTCACTAAGGGCAACTCCCCATACTTTTCTGAGCATAAAAACTATCAGAGAGAATTTCTTCCTTTTAGGACAAAATCTTTGTGCAGATTACTCTGCTGCACCCATTTTTTTCACTTTTGTCCCTATTTCAGTGGCCAAAATTTCTGTTTATGCTATAAATTCTAATACCTCCCTATATTTGTTATTCTTCTTCTGTTATCATTAATTTTTCTCTATTCTGTGATACCAACATACTATGGTAGCAAGGAATATAGCAGTAGTTCTGGAGTCAGATTATGTGGAATTCAAAAGCTTAGTTGCCAGTTTCTAGCCATGTGACCTAATAAAATTACATTTGCTAAATATAATTCTCATCTAATAAGTACTTATACTAGTACTTACCTCTTAATATTGTTGAGAAAATAACTTATTAATCTTAAGCAATGGACATAGTGCCTGACACATAGCACTCAATAAAGCTTAACATTGATTTAGTCAATTTTCACACTGCTGATAAAGACATACCCGAGACTGGGCAACTTACAAAAGAAAGAGGTTTAAGTGGACTTATAGTCCCACATGGCTGGGAAAACCTCACAATCATGACAGAAGGCAAGGAGGAACAAGTCATATCTTACATGAATGGGAGGCAGGCAAAGAGAGAGAGCTTGTGCTGGGGAACTTCTCTTTTTGAAACATTCAGATCTCATGAGACTTATTCACTATCACGACAACAGCACAGAAAAGACATCCCCCATGATTCAGTTACCTCCCACTTGGTCCTTCCCACAAAACATGGGAATTCAAGATGATATTTGGGTGGGTACACAGCCAAACCGTATCATTCTACCCGTGGCCCCTCCCAAATCTCAAGTTCTTCATTTCAAAACCAATCATACCTTCCCAATAGTCCCCCAAAGTCTTAACTCATTTCAGCATTTACTCAAAAGTCTGCAGTCCAAAGTCTCATCTGAGACAAGTCAAATCCCTTTCACCTATGAGCCTGTAAAATCCAAGACAGGTTAGTTACTTCCTAGATACAATGTGGGTACAGAAATTGGGTAAATACGGCCATTCCAAATGGGAGAAATTGGCCAAAACAAAGGGGCTACAGGCCCCATGAAGTCTGAAATCCAGTGGGGCAGTCAAATCTTAAGCTTCAAAATGATCTCCTTTGACCCCATGTCTCACATCCAGGTCACAGTGATGCAAGAAGTGGGCTCCCATGGCCTTGGATAGCTGCGGCCCTGTGGCTTTGCAGGGTATAGCCCCCCTCCTGGCTGCTTTCATGGGCTGGCACTGAGTGCCTGCAGCTTTTCCAGGTACACAGTGCAAGCTGTTCACGGATCTACCATTCTGGGGTCTGGAGGACAGTTGCACTCTTCTCACAGCTCCACTAGGCATTGCCCCAGTAGGGACTCTGTGTGGATGCTTCCATACCACATTTTCTTTCCTTCCTCACTGATCTAGCAGAGGTTCTCCATGAGAGCCCTGCCCCTGCAGCAAACTTCAGCCTGGGCATCTAGGCATTCCCATACATGCTCTGAAAACTAGGCAGAGGTTCCCAAACCTCAATTCTTGACTTCTGTGCACCAGCAGGCCCAACAATATGTGGAAGCTGCCAAGGCTTGGGGCTTGCACTCTCTGAAGTCATGGCTCAAGCTCTATGTTGGCCCCTTTTAGCCACAACTGGAGCAGCTAGGATGCAGGGCATGAAGTCCCTAGACTTCACACATCACAGAGACTTGGGGCTTGACTAACAAAACCATTTTTTCCTTCTAAACCTTCAGGCCTGTGATGGGAGGGGCTGCCACAAAGGTCTCTGACATACCCTGAAGACATTTTCTCCATTGTCTTGGTGATTCACATTTGGCTCCTTGTTACTTATGAAATTTCTGCAGCTGGCTTGAATTTCTCCTCAGAAAATGGGATTTTCTTTTCTATTGCATTGTCAGCCTTCAAATTTTCCAAACATTTATGCTGTGTTTCCCTTTTAAAAGTAAATGCCTTTAACAGCCCCAAAGTTACCTCTTAAATGCCTTGCTGCTTAGAAATTTCTTCTGTTAGATATCCTATATCATCTATCTCAAGTTAAAAGTGCCACAAATCTCCAGGACAGGGGAAAAATGCCACCAGTCTCTTTGCTAAAACATAACAAAAGTCATCATTACTCTAGTTCCCAAGAAGTTCCTCATCTCTATCTGAGACCGCCTCAGCCTGGATTTCATTGTCCATGGCTATCGGCATTTTGGTCAAAGCCATTCAGCAAGTCTCTAAAAAGTTCCAAATTTCCCACATTTTTCTGTCTTCTTCTGAGCCCCCCACACTCTTCCAACCTCTGCCTGTTACCCAGTTCCAAAGTCACTTCTAGATTTTCAGGTATCCTTATAGCAACACCCTACCCTACCAGTACCAGTTTACTGTACTGTGCTGTTTTCATGCTGCTGATAAAGTCATATCCAAGATTGGGCATATACAAAAGAAAGAAGTTTAATTAGACCTACACTTCCATGTGGCTGGGAAAGCCTCACAATCATGGCAGAAGGCAAGAAGGAGCAAGTCACGTCTTACATGGATGGCAGCAGGCAAGGAGTGAGAGCTTGTATAGGGGAACTCCTCTTTCTAAAACATTCAGATCTTATGAAACTTATTGAATATCATGAAAACAGCATGGGAAAGGCTTGCTCCCATGATTCAATTACCTCCCACCGGGTTCTTCCCATAACACATAGGAATTCAAGATGAGATTTGAGTGGGGACATAGCCAAACCATATCAAATATTTTGCCTCTTAAAAGGTGAAAATACTTGCACTTGACCCTGATTCCTGCTCAACTGTGTACTCTATATCACCTATAAAAAATTTTCTCACAAGGAATTAATGGGAAGACTCAGAGAGTATAGATGCGTTGTGAAAGCCTGGATTGAATAGATAAAAGAGAAAAGGTTCCAATATGATGATAAGCCCAAGCAAAGATTCAAAAACAACAACAACAACTAAAATTTGACTCAGATGTGGAAAAAAATATCTAGGTTTGGGATGGAGGGATAGTGATTAAAAAATGGTAGCATGGAAAGTCAGAACTTTTTTTCTATATATTTTTGAAAGCAAAAAAAAAAAATAGCTCAACTATGTAAATTAATTGTAATCAAACAAGATTTAAGATTTTTAAATTGGTTGCAGTATACCTTACAATCTATTATAATATGTAATACATGTAAGACTTATATGATATAAACATGTCGTGACCGCTTTGGTATTACCTATATTCTACTGTCTTATAGATGTTCAACTTAAACAGTTAATATCAATATAAATATGTCAGAGAAGTTATAGAGAACTCACAAAATTTACACTGAACCCAAAAGAAGAAGCCTGATGCTTATCTTGATATTCAGTGGCTGGAGATATTGTAAGCTAGAACATAAGATAAAGTTTTTAATTTTGTACATTAAAAAATGTGATTAACTTGCACAGTTCAGCTAGTAGTACTCTTCCTTACCATTTTGTGTAAAATTACTTCCTGCTTGATCTCCTGCAATTCCAATACTTAGCAAAGAGCACGAGACCTAGAAAGAACTCAATGAGTACATACTGAATGGTTGGCCTATGCCCTGGAATGGATAATTTATTTTATGGTTTGGTAATTCTGGATCATTTATTACATAATGTAACAAAACAAAATTATGCTAATGTTGAAAAATCATGTTAGTTTTATAAAAGTAAATAAAATACAAAGAATTACTGAGAGGAACAGCAAATACCCAGGTCGTCAGGAAGTCAAAAAAATAAAATAAAATAAAAGTTCCAAGAACTATGAAATAATCTGAAAGAATAAGAATTCAAGAAGAAAAGAAAAGTAATGAAAAGAAAACTGTAAGCAATAGAGATAATATTTTTCACTTCTGGACAAAATGTCTGCCCATGTAGTTATACTTGTTCCCCCAGTTTGCACAGTCATTGTCTTAAGGCAATAAATCTCTCACTTTTCTAGTGAAACTAACCCAGAAATAATAATTTAAGAAAAGAATAGAGAGACTAGGAGTCCTCTCTGGGCAGAGGCTTTTACTTTTTATGACTCTTGATGACTACTGGAACAAGTTCCTTATCAAAATACTCTTTTTTTTTGCCTAAGTTCTATATTTTTCATTTTCATTTTTTAATTTAATTTAATTTTCAGGATACATGTGCAGGACATGCAGTTTTGTTACGTAGGTAAACATGTGCCATGGTGGTTTGCTGTACCTATCAACCTCTCACCTAGATATTAAGCCCGAATGCATTAGCTATTTACCCTGATGTCTTCCCTTATGCACTGACCTCCTCCCCACTCACACACAGGCCCCAGTGTCTGCTATTCCCCTCCTTGTGTCCCTGTGTTTTTATCCTTCAGCTTCCACTTAAAAGTAAGAAAATTTGGTGTTCAGTTTTGTGTTCCTGTTTAGTTTGCAAATGATAATGGCTTTTAGCTCCATCCATGTGCCTGCAAAGGACATGATCTCGTTCTTTTTTATGGCTCCATAGTATAAAGTACTCTTCTTAAAAACAAAAAGGTAACATATTGGAGCTTTAGACAGTTGGTCCTTTTTGTATCGTTACAAGAGGTTTTACTGATATTTGTATTTTGTAATATGGCTCACCAGTAAACTTTGATGAGGCCCTCTGTGGTACAGATCATACTGGTGGCAAAAGATGACACACACCACATTAATCCTTAGTTTGTTTCTATCTAGAGGATGATTTTTCTTGGCTGAAATTCTGCTGAATAGATTACTTTCTCTACTAAAATGAAATGATTTACAACTATTCATTTTATTTGAAAGAGGCTCAGAAGCTGGCATATTATGTTAAATGTTATTTTGATGGCATAATGGTTTTTAAATTGGGGTGAAACCCTCACTCCCCCACATCCTTTGTAGGAATGTGCTATAGAAATGTGCATTAGAATCATCCCATGGCCTTTTTTTTACATTTTTATGGTGATATGTGCTTTAGGATAATAAGACTCTGAAGTTGATGGAATATTCTAGTTAATCTGGTAATGTAGACAAACCCACTGCCTGGAAATGAACATGATCAAATATGTCTGAGATATGGAGGCTAAACCAGTGAATTCTAGAACAGAAGAATTAATAAACTAAGTGTACTAGGTATTGGTATACATGGGACTGGAAACATTCAATTCACTCTAAGGCAAAAGAAAAAAAGAAAAAAAAACAAAACAAAACAATGTTCCCTACAGTGTCACCAGGGAAAGATGAGGGCTGAATTTGTAAAAACAAAAACCAAAAAACAAACAAGCAAAATCTAACTAAGTGACAACAATAGTAACTAAGGCATATTGAGCACTTACTAATATGTCCAGCCAGTGTTGTACTAGTGCTTTACAAGCAATACATCATTTGGTTATCTCAAAAAACCAATAAAACAGAAACTATATTATTCCTGCATTAAAGATGAGGAAACTGAGGCTCAGAATATTGAATGACATCCAAGATGATGTAGATATAGAAATAAAGGAGCTGAGATTTGAACCCATGACCCTGA